CCTCAGTGTATGTGACTAGCGCCCTGCTCACTGAGCGACAGGTGCTGAGCCATGGGCCTCATATTCTTATCTGTCCAGGGAACCACCTGAATAAAGCTTTCTCTAATGGGTCTTTTCAGTCGACTTTGCTTACGAGCCATTCTCACCATGCACCTCCCTTCTGCCTCAAGAGATGGGAGACTGAGGGTCTGCTGCCACAGGATGCCACCCAAACAAAGCCATCCCTGGCTCCTAAAGGCACAACATGGGGCAACGAGAAGCTCCCTCCACCCAGGTCTGCAGTTGACTCCATTCCCCAGCATCTGTCTGGACATGGAGGGGGACCCAGCACCTCCCTGGGCCCTTTCCTGCCCTATTTGTTAACCTGAGATACCTCCCACCTCCATCTAGGTTGCTCCATGTGCCTTCCCCACTACCCAAGCCTCGGGGAGCCCTGGCTTGCCTCACAGTTGGCCTCTGTGACAATTTGAGGGTCTTTTCTCCTCACTTTGGAGTGCACAAAAGCAGTTGTTGCTACTTTAATTTAGAAGTAATCAGGAGATATTGTAAACCCTCAGCCACTTTGTGAAGGACAGCTGGAAACACCTTGAGTTCTGGCCCCATAGGAATGAGGGGTGACCATGAGCCAACTGTGTATTACAAGCTTGGGAACTTTGCTTCTATCAGCTGAAAAAAAGGGATAGTGGCACAGGGTGACAGACGCAAAGAGCTGAGTGGATCCATAGAGCCCGGTGCTGTGCCTGGCACACAGTGAAAGTTCTGTAAATGCCTCAAAAGTGAAAGTCACCACTATGAAATGTGCACTGGGCAGTGCTTGTGACTCAAAGGAGTAGGATGCTGGCCCCATATACCGGAGGTGGTGGGTTCAAACCCAGCCTCAGCCAAAAACTGCAAACAAAAAAAGAAAAAGAAAAAGAAAGAAAGAAAAAGAAATGTGCATTGATTAACATGGATTTTTATCTATTTATTTATTTATTTACTGAGATAATCTTGCTCTATTGCCCTGGATGGAGTACCCTGGCATCACAGCTCACAGCAACCTCAAACTCTTGGGCTCAAGTTATCCCCTTGCCTCAGTCTCCCAAATAGCTGGAACTACAGGTGCCCATTACAACACCTGGCTAGTTTTTGTATTTTTTAGTAGAGACAGGGTCTCACGTTTGCTCAAGCCGGTCTTAAACTCCCAAACTCAGGTGATCCACCCATCTTGGCCTCCCAGTGTGGTGGGAGTACAGGTGTGAGCCACTGCGCCTGGCCAATAACATGGATTTAGACGCAGAGATACACATATGAGACCTGTCTGTGCAAAACCGGTCCTCCCATCTTCAGAGGACCCTCCCTCCACTCTGCCTGTGAATTCCTCTACTAGAGCTGTGGTCCCTCTCTCTGCATCTCAGCAAGAGACCTGGTTTATCACTAACACACTAACACTAACGGAAGAGAAGTCACTAACACCCAGAAGTGTCCCCAGTGCATGGGTGGAGGGAAGGAGAAAGTAAGGAAATGAGGAAGGAAGGAAATGAAGGAAGAAAGGGAGGGAGGGAAGAAACAAGGGAAAGAATAGGATGGGAATGAGGAAAGTGGGAGGAAGTAAGGGAGAATGAAAGGAAATAAAGGATAGAGAAAGAAGAAAGGAAAAAAATAAGGAAATAGGAAGGGAAAAAATAGGAAGAAAATGAGGAAGAAATGGGAAGGAAGGAAAAAACATGGGTGGGAGGGAGAAGAAATATTAGATGGAAGATGCTTCCTAAGGCTCCAATGTTGATGCAACCACTTAGAAACCTCTCAAACCGTAATGAATTACAACAATATTCTCATCAACTCTAATCCCAATATTTCGCAGAGAGGGAAACCAAGGCTTATCACTATAGCCCCCTTGCCTCCTGCGACTCTCACCCAGACACCATTTTACTCCAATGCCATCCTTTGCCTCGAAGGCAATGGTTCTCAACCTTCCTAATGCTGCGGCCCTTTAATACAGTGCCTGTGGGTCGCGACCCACAGTTTGAGAACCACTGCTCTAAGGCAATGTTTTAAAACACCTACAGAAGGTAATCTGATTTTGTAAAACTTTTCTCCTACAGGACTTCGGAATTCAGAGAGTACTAGAACAAATCAGATCTCATGTCCTGATCTGGGGTCTGAAAAATAGGGCAGCCATTCTCAGAAGGGCTGAGAATGTGAGTGGAATGAGGCTGGGCAGGAGGAGAATGTGGTGGGTGGGTCACCTCTCCTGACCTGGGGGGCTGGAACTTACCCTCCAGGGGGCAGAACCGAGTCACCTTCTCAGGCATCAGCAGTCCAAGCTTGTGTCGGCAATAGGTCTCCCCGATCTCCTGGCGGCAGTGCTTGGACTTAGCACGGGACAGGGCAGAGATGGCCTCCTTGCCAGAGATGTCACACTTGGGGGGCTGGTCATACTTGGTCTCAGGGGAGCTGCCCCCACTTTTCCTGGCATGGGGCTGCCTGGGGGCATCCTTCCCACGGCTGCTGTTGGCTGCAGCTCTCTCTCCGGGAGGCAGAGCCTCATTGGGGCCTTTCCCTTTCTCCTGTAGTTCCAGCTTCCTTTTCAAAAGCTCCTTCTGTCTACTTGGCGGCTTCTTGGCCAACTCAGGCTGGTGCTTCTGCTTTTGAGTCCTGGGTGCAAAGTTGCTATTGTCCACATTCTCAAAATCTTTGGGGACTGAGTTTTCATTGTTGCTGTCTGTTCGCACTTTCTCTTTCGGCCGGTGTGAGAAGTAGCCATCCTGGGAAACGGGAAAGAAACACAGAGGAGAAACTTTACTGAGCAGTCACACTGAGTCGCCAGGCCCTGGAAGAGTGGGGCATATGGTGTGGGTTTGGAAGTCTAGGCCATAGTTCTACCTCCCAGCTTTGCTACCACCTTAAACTCCGGTAAGACTTTTCTCTCTGGTCCTCAGTTTCCCTATTAGAAATAGAAGGTGTTCCAGACAGAGATTAAGGCTTTTACAAACTTCTTATTAACTACACTTTTTCAAGTAAGTTTCTTCCCTTGATTGTCTTTGCATACATGTTGTTGTGACTTCTTATTTAAATTCCATAAGAAAGTGCCGCGACAGTTTATTTAAGGGTTGGAAATGGCAAAATAAAGTTAGAAAGGGGAAAAATATTGGTAGGATTGTATATACATTCCAATACCTTTAGGACATGCTCAGGTATCTGTGCTCATAAGAGAACTCAGATTGAGCCACTGTAAATTCTGCAGGAAAGACACTATTAGCTTTTTTGCTTTTCCTTTTTTTTTTTTTTTTTTTTTAAAGAAGGGCAGTGCAGCCTTTGCAGAATGAGTTCCAGGGGACACACAAACTTGTGAAACTCATGTGTTTGAGCTCCAGCTCTTGATGTTTAGACCTGGGGCAGAACTGATTAAGTTACCTGGGGTCAAGAGAAAGAGAAGGGTCATGAGTCATTCATGGCATGGATCTTTCTAGAAAGGCAGCATTCCAAATTCAGCTCCTCTATGGGTAGACAGGGCCTGGTCACTTTGAGTTTGGATCAAATGCATCATTCAACTAACGCCCCAAATCATTTCTGAAACATCTTCCTTCTGCTTGAAGCCCATTCCCAAGGCCTTAACCTGAAAGCATATTCATAGTCCCAGAACATGCCCCCTGACCTCTGAAGCCACAGAGAACACTAATTGGCTCCATAAATCTGCCCCTGTTGCTATAGCAACACAAAGGCCATGAGCAGCATCCCTGTCAGTTTTCTTTTTCAAGGAAGAGCTGAAATATGCCTCTTACTAGTTCTCAAGGAAAAGGATGGTAGGGACTCAGCAGTGGAGCCCTGCTGGTGCCCGAGAGCAGCTGACAGGTTCCTGCTCCAGAAGGTCAGCAAACCACCACCCCTGGGCCAGACCCAGCCCACCACCTGTGTTTGTAAATAAAGTTTTATTGAAACACAGCCACACCTGTTCATTTCTTACTGTCTATGGCTGCTTTTGTGCTTGAACAGCAGAAGTGAGTAGTTACAACAGAGACTGTCTGCACTGCAAAGTGTTAAATATTTCTATCTGTCCCTTTAAGAAAAAAACATGCAGCCCCCTGCTCTGTCCAAAGGAGTGAGAGTTTAAAAGGCCCACCTTCCCCTGGGATTGGTTGAGCTGCTCCTGTCCTCACTGTCCCCATTTGGCCCTGCCATGGTCTAGTGAAGAACTCTCCCTTCTAACCTCTGCCCCATACTGTTCCCCCGGCATTAAACACCAATTTCCTCTATTTGGTGGAGGCTATAAGAATGACAGCTGACATCAGATGCTTCATGGCCACCCTGTAAATTGAGAATTGCTATTATTCTCCTTTTACAGATGGGGAATTGAGCATCTGTTAACAAGCTATTTGCCTAAGGTA